ATCTGAACAAACAATGGAATATTTCACTTACAAATTTATAGTAATAAATAGCTACAAGAAACATTTCAATACTTTCACAAATGCAGGCTACAAGTGCTTCTAATAATTCTTAATTATTTTCTAAAGTGAAAGAGAAATTAGGTCATTGTTGTCAGTATGCTAGGCTTCTGTTTCACCAAGACTGATCATTTCTAGCTGTGTCTGATCCAGAGGTAGACAACACAGGGTAATGCTGTTGTGCTCATCTGTGGCTTCAGTAGGAAATGCTGTTTGTCTACAGTGGCAAGAGGTTAATCTTTAGAAGGTATACTAGAACTATTTCTCTGTTGGGCTCCATGACATCTCATAGTCCATCACAAACCACTGAGAAGTATTCCTGTATTATCTGTGGTAAGCCTTATAATAATTGTTGCTGTCTTTATTGACCTGGGCAAATTATTTATCTTTTTCAGCTTTCCTGCTCTAATGGTGGATGGTGACATTGCAAACACTGTTTGGATGAGGCAGGGTTATAATTTGGTCCTTGGTTAATCAGAAATATATGAATTCTTTGGTTCAAGCTCAGGTCATGGTCATTCTGTCTATCCCTCAGTATATTTGCACTGATTCTATGTACCTAGGAACAGTGTCCCATACTGCTGGTAATTCATCTACGATAACATGAGTTGTTCATAAACATTTAGTACTGTATTAATGGGTCTAATAGTTGCACAACCTCTGACTGCACCTTTCTGCTCCATGTTATTTAATGGATAACTTGAGGTTATGATGACTAAATATGTGTACAAGGACATGGCTGTAGTGTCCTTCTCTCTTTAAAAAGAAAACCCCAAACCCCCATATTATTAAGATTCTATCACTCCATTTTTACTCAAGGTCTACTTGCTTTCATCCAATGTGTACAATAAAGTACATTAGATTTTACTCACAGTTAAAATTTCCCTAAAGTTGTTACCAGTCTTACTTAAGTCAGTCATAAGGTTTGGATCACACTTATTTTAACACATTATTTTTCTACCTTAATCTGAAGCCTTTAATAAATAAAATCTATTAAGGACTTGTTTTTTTCTCTGTGTGATCAGAGACACTGTGGACAGGTGGGTCTTGTTTGCTTTGGCCAGCATGAAGGTATAAGGAAGAAATATTGACATGTAAAGAGCAGGCTTTTCCAGCTTAGAAAAGGATGGGGTTCATTAGGATACCATCTGGAGAAGCTTTTGAGGTGGAGTCACTGATATGAATTACATATAAATTAATTTGATTCTTCTTCTCTGGGATATCTGTCCCAGAGTCATTAAAAACTCCTGTCCTTTCAGACACTCAAATTCTATCCCATAAGGAAAATGCAGGAGAGGTCTGTTTTAAAAAAAAAAAAAAAAATTCCTAAACATGAGCTAGCATCTTCTCTTTTCTACCTATCACTTACCGGGTAGGAAAGTAAGTGCATAGCCAGCTAACTTTCCATTAATTAAACAAAAACTGTTCCAGGTGAATGTGATGTGTTGCATCGGTCATTTATTATCTCTTTGCTTCTGTATTCAGAATCTTTCTGTAATTTGCATCATTTGAAATTGATCTTTATTACAAAAAACTCACATTTCCTAAAACTGAACGTTAGCGTGACCACCAAGTTCCACAGCTGAATAACTTTTTGGCTTTTGCACTCCTTCCAGGGAATCCTTACCCAAAAGCAGAGTTCATGGTTCTTGTGCATTAAAATGATGGAGCTATTCTGAGACTGCTGCAATGAACCGTGTAACTTCATCCTCTGCTTGATTAAATTCTTGTTTTATCATCAGAAATGAGAAAGGGATTAATAAACTTCTCAGTGGTTCATTGTATGGCACCCTCATTAGTCTCTCAGGGAGAGGAATGCTAGGCAGCAAATCGTGAAAACTACAGGTCAACCATTCTTCAGATTTGGTTTTAGTGTAATTTTTAAACAATCTTGGACTTCTGCATCCCTAATGGATGAGTTTTGAGTCCTTTCCTGGTATCCTATAAGCTACTTAACCAGCAATATCAATTGTTTTCTACCCATTTCCAATTCTGACAGCCTAAGACTGTCAGGTCTGCATGTGTCTGGGAAGTGCTCCATACTTCAGAAATGCCAGCAAGAGATACGTGAGAGATTTTTATGTTCGATTATCACAGCCTGAATAGTGACAAGGGAGCAGAAAGTGGCATAAACTCTACTCTTGAATAAAGAGAAAACATCTATTTTAAATCCTAGTTATGTCCCCAGGAGCCCTATCTCCTTAACGCTAACTCAGGAGCTTGAATTAACTCTCAGTGACTCCTTTGATATAGGTACTTTAGGAAAGTTTAACATGATATATAAAGATAAGCCTAGTAATAATACACTGAATGTCTACAATTCTGTTCAGTCTGTGTCTTCCGACTGTATTCCTCTTCAGCTTTGGAAAGATTTTTATAAATTCCACATCCATTTGGAGTACATGAAACACTTGGGATACCAGCAACCTGCAAAGTATTTGTTTGTTTCAAGTGCTACTGATGCATCTGTGAGGCACTTCTTTCTAAAATTTCCCCAGATTCTTCTTTTTTTGTAGGTTAGCATGTAAAGTCAACTGGTGAAAAAAGATTCTTATCAAGTGATTTGACTGTGACAACAGAAACAAAAGTCAAATTGCATTCACATGCCACTCCAGTAGTGGTTCCTTTTCTTAATTATTTTTTTCCCCTTCCCACGTGAGCAGTTCTAGGCCAGGTGATAAAAGCACATTTTGCCTGAAGTGCAGCCAAGTGGAGGTGGACGTGAGTGGCAGGGTGTGCGAGAAGGAGGTGGGGTGCTGGCTCCACACCCTAGTCTGCAGCTCCTGCAGCACCTGTGTGGTCAGAGGGCTGCAGGAGACAGTGGCCATCCCCACCAGCGGGGCTCCCTCTTTCTTCCAACCCTACCCCACTGGAGCCATGGCCTGAGCTATCTCAAGGAGCAACCATGACTGGAACAGAAAGGGAAAAAGAAGGATTCAGGTGCAGCAGGGAGAATCAAGTTTTCAAGTTAAAAACCTTTTTGAGATCTTTTTCAGTACTGGAGTTTACATGTAAGGATAGCTCTTACCTTTCTCAGAGCGTGTCCTTGACCTTTCCTGGGGCAGACAGTTGAATGAGCAGCACTGAGGATGGATGGGGAAGCACCACCGCAGGGACTCATCTCCAGGGCTGCTCTGCTACAGAGACAATTTCCACTGTATGTGTCTGACTGTGCCAACCCCAGTGTAAACCAACAGACCGACGTGGCACCGCAGACCGTCATAACCAGCATGCTCAGTCTCATTTGCCTTCCCCAAACTAGTGCCCCTCATGTGCAAAACAAGGGACTCCTGGAGTGCAGCAGACTGGTTTGGAGAGTGGGGATTTGCTCCCACCCTTCGGCATGACCATCTGCAATTCTGGCCCCCACACTCATTACACACTCAATAGCCATGTGGGATTAGTACTGCCATGGGTCAGTCATAATCTCTCTTGACCAAAACCTCCTCTGCTATATGGACTGGTCTGGCTTACAACCACAAGTCAGGTGCAAAAAGGGTGCAGTCCTGGACAAGCCACCAGCAAGCACGACCTCAAGGCCCTGACTGTCTTGAATAACTGCTCCCAAGAGGTACAGTCCCTCCCCTGAGTACGAACTCAGCTGTTTTTTTAATAGGATGAAACAAGCCCTGGAAGGAGCATCCAAAGTTGTGTGCTAAGAAGCAGCAGCACATAAGAAAACAGAAATAATGTGATTTCAACACACCACACATTGGTATGCATGGGGTGGGAAGCCATAGCATGTTTCTTACATGCCACATGTAGGGCAGCTCAGTGCTAAGCATGGTGTGGGCTGTAAGTCAGTGATGTGAAGATGTTGTGGTTTAACCCTAGCTAGCAATTAAGCACCAGACAGCTGCTTGCTCAATCCACTTGAAGGGGAAGAGACTCTGAAGAGTGAAACTGAGAAAACTGGTGGGTTGAGGTAAAGACAGTTTAATAAGTAAAGCAGAAGCCACCTGCTCAAGCAAAGCAAAGCAAGGAATTCATTCACTATTTCCCGTCAGCAGGCAGGTGTTCAGCCATCTCCAGGAGAGCAGGGCTGCATCACAAGTAATAGTTACTTGGGAAGACAAATGCCATAACTCTGAACATCCCCCCACTTCCTCACATATCATTGCTAGAAGTCCCAAATAATGCCCATTTCTCACACTACATGGTAAAATGTTTTTTTCAGATACTAAAACTTTGCCTATTTCCTATGTTTTCACAGTTTTAAAAAAATTTTCCAAATGCCTTGGAGAAGGTCTTGGCATACTATATTTATATAGTAAGGCTGATCTGAAATGCATTGGACCCAGCGTACATCTGTCATGCAAAAAGTGGTGCAAACTCAGAGAGGTTGTAGAATTGAAGGTGCTTTATGGAGCTCATCCAGACCCAGTGCCTGTGTGGTCTCTCTCTCGAAGGTTGCACCTAAAACCTTTTCAAATTTTGTTTTCTCTTCATTGTACAGTCCCTTGGTCAGAATGGGGCCAAAGCCAATTAAGCGTTAGGGAGGTTCTGTTGATTGGTGTGTAAGGCTGAGAAACACTGACACTTAGTGCTTATATAGTCTGAAAAACAGGAAGGGGCAAAAGGGAGAGAAAGGCTTCCTTGGAGAAGATTTGTTCTGCAGCAAACTGGCAAACTTCACACTTCATACATTTCAGTATCAGTCTTCTTTCTAGTGCTGTCTTGGCAATCTACATCATATCTTTGGGATAAAAATAATTTCCAATTAAAGATTTCTGTGACAGAGCATTCATACTGAAAAATAATTGCTCTGGCTGAAGAGCTATTAAAAAAGGTATACACAACAGAGTGATCAGATCGCTTTCTTCAGAATAAACCCAGCTGCAACGGCCGTTGAGCAGAAGTGCAAGATTGCAGAAGAGGAATGATACAGGATAACTGCCAGGGCTCATGAGGAGGTGGATCACTGTAGGGAGCTCCCCTCCTGTCTATGGTGACTGTGTGTCTCCTAAGGCGTTACGTTGTGGGGAGGTTCGCAGAGGATGTGGCAGGTCCTTTTCATAAAGCCTTCCAAAAAGCGTCGCTGTTACAAGCGGTTTTGATGTGCCATGTTTACTTTTCAAACGTCCGTCACGTAGCACCTAGTTGGAAAGGGAAAGAATGCTACTAATAGTCCACTAACAGAATGGCAATATTGCATGGTGCAGAAAGGATAGGCCTTAGATGTTGAATATTTTGATGCAGCAGTTTTAAAAGACAATCATAAGAATGAAAGAAACTAGAATTCTCTCCGGATCTGCCATAGCCTTCCCACATTTCATTGAACGTGAAGGTCTTTAAAACTTCCTTCAGCTCCACCTTTGGAAAAAAAAGGTAATTTTCCCCATTTCATAAGAAAGTGAGAGTAAGAGTAACTGATTTCTTACATTCTCATTAGCTACTCATACATGCTTTGAAGGTTATATACATATCTAGGACAGTAATTTGAAATCTTTTTTGATTTGCAGACCCCAAAACAATTTCCAGATGGAAGTAGAGAATTTCAAGCTACTGGCCATATTTTGCTTTTCTTAGTTACTTTTTACAGATTAATTTGAAATCACTGTTGTTTATAAACTGAATACCTGCAACATTTTAAGAGCCTCTGTGACAAACAATAAGCATGTATTTGTTAAAAAAATACAAAATATTTTTTTTAAATTAGGCCATGATCATATTTTAGCATACCAATAAATCCTTTGATGTGTATGCTTTTACAGAAGTCTCATTCAAAACAAATAAGCAGGATGAGCAATGCTTTTCCTGGGACCTTTAGAGGTCATCTAGTCCAGCCTCCCTGCAGCAAGCAGGGACATCTTCAACTAGACCTTTCCATTCTCTACCTTGTAAAAAATCACCCTTGTTTCCTCTAAAAATTTTCAAGTTGTTTTCACTGTCTTCATTGTCTCCTATAAGCTATTAAATACCTCTCCAAATAAATTAAGATTTCATTTAATCTCTTACATAAAAACAATCTAAGCTTTATGAATGAAAACATATTTTGGCAAAAATATGTGATAAAGTTTCTAATAAAAAATAAAACCCTACAAAACCCTCAACAATCCCTTTTAATATTTTTAACTGCATAGAATCTCTGCTATTATGCATGATACTCATTAGTAATTTTTCTTGTTTGGACAATTTGTCAGAGTATTTTATTTCTTTGTCTCCTAAAGTGCCCATGAGTAGAAACCCTTAGAAAATAGCTTCTTGAAATCTGCCATTTATAGATTTGGGGCCTGAACTGGGAAGGCATATTTGCTAAAGAAAACACTGAAGAGATTCTTGGCCTTATCATTTATACATTCTGGTCAGTAAGGATTAATTCAATCCATTCATTTAAATGTCCTCTTGAGTTACAGTCCACAGAACCAAAGAAAGTGCAGCCATATTCCTTAGCCTGGAAAACCTTGCATCAAACAGCTCCAGGATGCCCCATTACCTCAAACTCCCCGGGGGCCAGCTGCACCCCGCTGTACAAGACTTCTGGAAAGACATAGTTGGTGCCAAAGGTGCCGCTGAGGGAGAACATCTCAAACTTGGTCTGAGCTGTCTCTACCGGCTGTCCACATGTGTTCAGGTCTGTGCTCTGGCACTTGAGCAGCGTACATATCTGTGAGGAGGACACAGAAAGGCAAAATACTGGTAGGCTTTCAACAGCCAGGAGCTGGATTTGATAACAAGAAAAGTTCTCAGGATTCAGGAATGGACAGGTGTTTTGGGATGGTGGGGATGCAGGCATATATAACCCACACTCACCCCTACAAAACCAATTACCTGCCAATGGTATTTTATGAGCGAACCGTGAAGACCATCAAATGCACCCAGGACATAAACTTCATCTTTGCTCTTGTCTGGCATCCGATAGATCAAATGACAGCAGAGGTCTCCTTGGCAAACCGTGTAATTTCCAGCTTTTCGCCTGAGTGCACTGAAAGTGAATATATCCCGCCGGACAGCTGCCGAAAAAGTGTCTTCTTCTGGAAATTTCTTGATGCTTGTGGCATACAAGCTCCAGTTGACAGCAGGGGGGTAGGTGGGGGAAAGACGAGGGCGTGCGCTCAGTTCTGCTACCAGGAGACGTCCCTCCTCTGTCTCGCTGTCGTAGTGGTAGGCGGCAGGTCCTTCCGGCGTGAACAGCCCACTGCCTGCCGAGGACACCCACCCGCCCTCCGTCAGCCAGCACCTGGGAGCACGGCTTGGCTGGGGGCCAGCCACACCCCATGCCACACCAATGGGCTTTTTGGTAGTGCTATTTTCAGTCAACAGGTTACGGAGAATTTTGGAAGAATTTTAAAGCACAGAACAGCTATAATAACCATCATAGTGTAAAAACATGACCTAAACTCCACAGATTAAACATGACCTGAACTTCACAGGTTTTGTGCTTTGCTGGATCTTGAATCTGAGCCTTAAACAGCAACTTGACACATGACTATCCCCCTTTTTTTTAAGAACTTAGATTAATTTAATGTAAATCAGAGCCCCAAGACTGGCATATTTGCCAAAGAAGGAAACTGTGGAGGTAATTAAGTTTCACAGAAGGAAACCCAGGGCTGTGGCCTAAACTCAGCTCTGTCTATTTAGGACAGGGAAAACTGTTCCTTTGTGGCTTTCATTTCTACTTCAGGGAAGAGTTACAGATGCAGCTACAGCAATATTTTCTCAGTTTACAGGAAAAAAAAAAAAATTGTCAGTAAATATCTATTTGGATCAAACCAAAATAAAAATATCTCTAATTCTTCAGCAGCACAAAAACCTGACAATAACTTATTCAACAGACAACAGGAATCCTCCTTTTGTTTTGGGGTTATTAAGTTCTGTTTAAAACATTTTTTCCTCCATTTAACTTAGGATTGAATTGTAAACAAAAAATGCTGCTTCTAAACAAGAGGCTGAAAATTTAAGTGAAACTGTGCTATTTTTTAAAGAAAATTTCACTTTTGAAATATCAAAATTTAATGTCATGCACTTTCTAATTTTACCTCTCCCACAACATGCAGTTATTTCCTTGCCTGAAGCTGTTTACTACATTCCATACAACATGAATAATATTTTTAGTCTAGAAAATATAAACACTATTTTCCAGAGAATTCACTATTTTAAAAAAATTTTTGCCTGCTTCTGAATCCAGTACTCTGAAGACAATTTCCCTTTTCCCAAATGCAACTCACCTGTCATTGCAAAGCTCATGTTGTGGGTATTTGCTGAAAGCAAATTGACACCCATGCCCATAGCCCAGGAAGAGTGAAACTCAACGGCAGTCAGAAACGGCAGGACGTTCATCCAAGCCGTCGGGAAGAGCACAGTGTCCACCTGCAACTCGCTCACCAGGACCACGGCAGGCTCACGGAAAAGGATGTCGAAGCACGTGAAAATGCCAAACTTCCCAAAGGGGGTTTCAAAGGTGATGGCTCCTGGCTCTTTTGGGTAATTAAACTGAGTTTCTCTTCTAAACAGGTTGTACTGCAGGTGAAGAAAACGGCATGTTAGAAAATAAAAACAAGGTAAGATTTTGAACTGCTACCTTTGTGTCTGAGATAGGCTTTAAGGCAAAGCTGGGGGTTGAGATACCTGAGCTGGCTGTCAACAGTGGGTTTGTATCCATCCAGCTGACCCTCTCCCCATGCAAAACGGGGTGGCTGAGCCCCAGCTGCCTCTGGGAAGCCATGCCTGGCTACCTGGCTTGACTGAAACTGTGCCAAGGACCACCTAACATTTACTGTGTATGGAAACGCTGTCACATCTTCTTTCCCATTTACTACCATAAATGTAGCTCTTGGGTGTTGGTATCCAGCACGCGCTCTGCAGCTGTGGTGTTCCTGGCAATAAGGCCTGATCAATCATACACTTGCCTGCTTTTCCTTCTGGCCATAAAATCCTTGCCTCAGATCACCCTGGATTGGTTGTCACTCTACAATTATGTAAAATTATTGTATAAACCATCTGAAATTGGTGCCAGAGAGATGAAAAGTATATTGATAATCAATAACAGGGTGATGCTGAAGTGCTGCTTTACCTTGTGGTAACGGGCCACCAGCTTCCCCTCAATGTCAAAGACAACATTGGTGTTGTACTGATAG